CAGTTTAGAAAGAAGATGGGCAAATAATTACATAGTTGTAGCTCCATGTAGTAAAATATATGAGGTAAGGATGGGAATCTTAATCAGCAGCAGCTCTTAGCTTCTCAGGAAACTTCACAGCACCCCTCTGGGAGCAAAGCCAACTTTCCCATCGTTAACAATGCTTTGAGAGTCAAAGAATACAAAACACTACCTATGCAGAATTATTTATTCTCATGGTCAATGGCTTTCACTCTTCAGCACGAGTCAGAGAGGATTATTGGGCCACATACATAGCACAAGAAAGTACTCATTGGAAATCCCATTTACCAAAATTACACATGGTCTAACTGGAATGTGGTATTCTGGATTGGGTCCTAGGACAGAAAAAGGACATTAGTAAAAAAACTTGTGAAATTCAAATAACGTCTATAGTTTATTAATTAAATAACATTTATAGTTAAGAATAATGTACCAATACTAATGTCTTAGATGTGAAAATATGCCATAGTTATGTAAGAAGTTAATATTAGGAGAAGCTGTGTGAAAGGTATACAGGAACACTCTGTACTATCTTTACAATTTTTCTATAAATTTAAAATTATTCCTCAGTAAAAAAACTTTAATTACATGTGATTCTTCCCTTTACAGTCTTTCTCCCCAGTAGGATTCTGAACATCCCTCCCTAGTCACTGCCCCATTCAGGTGATGCTCAGTTAAATTTTAAAAACCTTCTCCAACTCTTCTTATAAACCATTTCAACAGACTAGCTGGGTTTACTTCTTCATCCACACATGAAAAAACCAGATCAACCTTGGAAGGTTTTAACTGCTTTCTCTTCCTAATTGCTTCACTATATACACAAAGGAGTAAGTATACTTGGATTTGAACTTCCCAAAGTGGACAAGAGAGGGGTTAAAATAATGTGAGCTGAATATCCAGATAAAAGCAAGGGAACACTATAGAAAATGTATGTTTGTATATCACTAGATTACCTTTATCTGATCTCTAGCCAAAAAGTATAATGAACAGAAAATACAATTAACAGATGTTGCAAAACTTCCCTGAAATGAATGCTTTAGCTATAAGCTCTTAAAAACACAATTCAAATTCAACTATTCAAAGTAAAAAAATTCATATAAAATTGAGCCAGGCATGGTGGTACACACCTGTAGTCTCAGCTACTCAGGAGGCTAAAGCAGGACGATCACTTTAGCTCAGAAGTTAAAATCTGGCCTGAGCAACATAGTGAGAACCAGTCTCTTTTAAAAAAAGAAAATATATATATATATATGTTATTGTTCAAGTTAGACTAAATAACAAAACATGTATCTACTAGCTTTAGTTTCTAACAGCTAAATGAGCATTCACCTCTCTCTACTAAATCCTATCTTGTAAAGTAGGCTTCAAGAGTCTCACCAAGAAAACATCATTATGGCAAAATAACAATATTGAGGGCTCAGATGCACACATGTGCACACATACATATGCACATGCGCACGCATAAACTGCAATAAAGTTAAGCAACCTCAAAGATTTGAAAACTACTATACAAAAGAATATTGATAAAGGTTAAGTATTCATGAATCCTTCAAAGAAAAAGAAATCATAGAAAAATAAACCTAAGCTAGTTAATAGCTAAAGCCATTTAAAAGGTAAAATGATACACTAGAATCCATTAAGGTCATAAAATCTGTTCTGTTACATGGTATGTTGATAGTATTAAATATTACACAATAGTACTCTGACCTGAACCACTACCAAAAAGATGAATAGGTAGACTAATTCCTCTAAAATATTTCAAATCACATACCTCTTTTTAGCCCCCTACCACAAGTCTTTCTCCAATACAGGAGACCTGTGGTCTTAAAAAGTAACTAACACATTACCTAGTACAGAATGAGCCCTTAAAAAATGCTTTCTGGTGCAGCGCCTGCAGCTCAGTGAGTAGGGCACCAGCCCCATATACCGAGGGTGGCGGATTCAAACCCAGCCCCAGCCAAACTGCCACAACAACAAAAATAGCCAGATGTTGTGGCGGGTGCCTGTAGTCCCAGCTACTTAGGAGGCTAAGGCAAAAGAATCGCCTAAGCCCAAGAGCTAGAGGTTGCCGTGAGCTGTGACGTCACAGCACTCTACCAACAGCCATAAAGTGACACACTCTGTCTCCAAAAAAAAAATAAAAAATAAAAAATGCTTTCTGAATAAATGAACATGCAGCAGTAATTTACCTCTCAAGTAGCCTTACAAATCACTTGACCATCAAAACTTAGGAACAGAATATGCTGTATGCTATGCTACCACATTTAGGAGGCAGTCAAGTTAACCGAAAAAAAATTAACAGCAACAAATGTCTACTGGGGGGAAAAAGCCATGTCATATAAGTCACAAAAATAAATATAAAAACTGTAACTTGAAAATAGAGCAAATTCTCCAGATTAATCTTTTCTTCTTGATGGCCACAACATGAATCTACCTATAAATTTCTAACATTGACAAATAAGATGTTCTTTAGGAAATCTTTCATTATTCATAATTTTATAAAGAGATTAATCAACTTAAATTAGTAAGTTAGACCAATTAGTGAATGGAATGAAGTCCAAGCCCAATTATGTGTTCAAACTGTGGGTCCAATGCCTTGAGTGACTTTTTTCTCTTTAAGACTGCCCAAAAATACAAAACAACCCTCTTGACTGCTGAGAAGGACTAAAATAATTTCTTTGCCTCACAAGTATGTGCCCAAAAGCAATTACTTTCTGCACCCATCCAACACAAATCAACTCTGCTTCCCCCCTTCCCAACCCTATCAAAGAATGCTATAGACTAGAGTATTTGAATACTTTTATCTCAGATTGCAATAAAATTACAAAATAACAACAACATATTTTTCTAAGTATGTTCTCATCGCCCATGGAGTTCCCACACTAATTTAAATCCCTATCAAGTCTTAATCAAGGCAATCAGAAAATTCTCATAATAGAAATTACAAACTGCTTTTTAGAAAAAATTGTTATTGTTCATGGATTCCAACTTCAGAGTACATATTTAGGAGAGTATTTTTCTGTCAATGCCTGAATTACTACTTAGTCATATGCAGTTTACCCTCTGAATCTATATATATTAATCAGTCTCAAATATTTAAAATAATAGCTGACCATGTTTACTTAAAGGGCTTATCACCAAAAAGTGGTTGCTGTTAGCTCTACCCACGAATAACAGCTTGGCAGAGACAAACTCTTTGCAAAAGATTAGGAACTTCTAGTGACCTCAAATAGTGTAAAGCAGGAGACACATACAGTATCTGTAGATGCTTCAATAATAAAACTATTTCAAAATTGAATATTCAGAGCCTACAGATATCTGAACAACAAAGCTATCTAAATGCATCCATGCCCAAAAGAAAAAGAAGCAGTAAAACAGAATGCCTACATCCAAATTAACATAGAAAACCACCCTGCAACTGAGCTTCTCAGGACATGAAACTTAATAAAGTTTTTGAAGTTTATCAACACATTCACATTCCAGTGCAAGTATATCAAAATACAACTGACATAAAGTTACAACTCTACCACATAGTCTTAAGTTGAAGACCCACAATGATAATAATAGAAAATGTTGAGTTTTCTACTATTATATCAGCTGTGTGTTCTAAGGACCTCGCGTTTTTACTATGAATATGATAACATAAGTCCTTATAACACTCCCATAAGAAAGGGGCTACTATTATAATTATCTCTATTTTATAGATGAAGAAACTGAAGCACAGATTAACTTGTGCAATGTCATACAGCTAGTTCAAGGCTTAGCAGTCTGACTCCAAAGTTTGTATTAACCAAAATGCTATGTTTCACAGTTAAGCGCTAAAAAATGATCACCGTTACTTGTTGATGTTTTTCAACCTGATAATCTTTTTGGCTTCCATACACTAGGATAGCATCGTTCAATAAGAAAAATGCAGGCTTTTTAAAATCAAATAGACCCAAAAAGATCTGTGAATAAAACCTGGGCTTCAGTTTCCCACGTGTAAAATGAGGGTACTTATGTTATTGTAAAGGTCAAAGAAGATAATATAAAATGAAGTGCCAAACATCGTGTACAGAATAAGGGTTCTTAATCTGACGTTAACAGACACCTGGAGGGTCCATGGATAGGCTTCAGAGTCCACTAGACTCATAAATTGTATGGCAAATTGTGTGTGTGTGTGTGTGTGTGTGTGTGCACGCGCCGCCCATTTTAAAGAGAACTGTCCCTGGCTTTCTACAAAGTGTCAAGAGGTACGTGATCTCCAAAAGGTTAAGAGCCAATGGATTAGTACACAGCGGGTAATCAAAAAAATGGAAGTTATACCTCCCCCTTCTTGTTCTCACAAATTCTCCCATTTTCTTTAAAGATGACACACTAAGGCTTCCCAATAAATGTGAATTGTTTTCCCCCATTTTCCTGACTTGGTAAATCTTAACATATTCAAGCTTACGCCCCAATTTTCTAAGCTATAGTCTAAAGAAGGTACTCAAACGCTGCTTCAACTCTCTTCCCCGAGACGAAAATATATACCTGCGGAGAATCGTCCACCTAGCTGCACAAAGAACCATGCTGGCTAGGAGAACAGAGAAGAAACCAGAACCTTAGGGTTGGTCGCTAGAGACCCGATGCCCCAGCATTGGGTAATGAGAAGAATGTGTTCCCCCAAACTACTGTGCCACCCAGGACTCTGATCCCCCTACCCTCGTCCTCCCTTTCTCTGGGGCACAGGTGCAAGCAGGTCTTCTGGGCTCTACCTGTGCCCGCAGAGAAATATTACCCGAGCCGGGGGTTGCTGCGTAACGAAGTCCCAGCTCTTAGATCCTGGGAGGCGACGCCAGTACTCAAAAGACCAGCTCTCAATCTTCCCCCTGAGAGACACCAGCGTTAGTCTCTGCCCGGCCTGGGAACCGGCTTAGGGATTTTCCTTTTCCCAAAGAGGCTTCCGCTTCCGGGCTAGTCTTTGCCGGAAGCAGTATATGGATGACGTAAAAGTGTCGCGCCGTTGGTGATTCCGGAAGAAACAAGAGTGTGGCGTGAGCATGGTGAGAGAGAATCTCAGTAGGGACTTTGTCAGACCTCTTTTGCGGAGGGAGTGGAGTCAGCCCGTGGCCAAGTTTTCTCTACATTCCTCTTGTTAATTTTCATTCTAGTCTTAGCAGTTAAACTCCTCTGAGTGGTGCCTGTTATGCTTTAGGGAGTGAAGAGGCGGGGATGGCTATTAGAGGGAAGAAGGGAAGGGAAGGGAATGGACAGGACTTTAAAAGGTGAAGTGTATTTCCAAATCTTTTAACTCTAAAACTTCTGTTTCAAGGGGAAGCAAAAGAAAACACGGAAGTATGCAACCATGAAGCGAATGCTTAGTCTCAGGGATCAGAGGCTGTGAGTGTCCGTAATCAACTGGATTCGTAGACTACTCGAAGATATAATAAGTCACGAGGGGATAAGTAGTATACTTTTTTTTGGCTGTTATTTGCTTCGGACATCATTCGATTTGTATAGCATTGGATAGTCGTCAAGTGTATAACAGTCGTTTAGCTGCTGAGTTATTACACTGAGAAAGGCTGTGGAAATTAAACATTTCTTAAGTATTCACCTTTTCCACTGTTGTTGTGTGATTTATCTACCATATCACATGTAAACCTCATAACAGTATGTGAGGTGGGTAAGATTATGTTCTGACCGTTACAAATGGTAGTCTAACCAGTATTTATTTACTGATTAGCAATTTTTGTGCATTTTTAGCTTTATGTATCAATTATGATACTTCTAGGCCACTTCCTACTATATTTAATTGCTCCTAAAGTGTATGCTGATATTAATATTAAAAAGTCACAAAGTGGCATTTTCTCTGTAGACAAAAAACATTGAAACATTTGGTTTTTGAGTGAGATTATAACTGCTGTGGTTTTCCCTTCTCTCTTGCATTATGCTTGCTTTTTTCCCAGTAAAGAAAAGGACAGATTGAAACCTAAAAAGAAAGAAAAGAAAGATCCCAGCACATTAAAGGAAAGAGAAGTGTGAGTAATCAAAAATTTTTAAGTTTTTCTTTAAAACTAAAAGAGATATTCTAAAACTATAAACATCTTAGACATCCAGGTTTTCACTGAGCTAATTTACTTAAGCATTTGTTAGTAAGTCTGACACAATTATGCACATGAAAGCGACATTAATGAGCATATACCAAGAGCAAGGATTTGAAGGTTTTTGGATTTTGTGGAGCAGTAAACTTTCCTTAACATCCTGGAGACATAATCTAAGATTATTAATTTTTTTTTCTCTGCTAAGAATCTTTTAGAAGAAATAATTTTCGGGTGACACCTGTGGCTCAGTGAGTAGGGCACTGGCCCCATATACCGAGGGTGCTGGGTTCAAACCCAGCCCCGGCCAAACAGCACCAAAAAAATATAGCTATGTATTGTGGCAGGCACCTGTAGTCCCAGCTACTCAGGAGGCTGAAGCAAGAGAATCACCTAAGCCCAAGAGCTGGAGGTTGCTGTGAGCTGTGATGCCACAGCACTCTACCAAGGGCGACAAAGTAAGACTCTGACTCAAAGAAAAAAAGAAATAATTTTCATTGTTTAATACACCAAAAAACAGTAAGGATATATTTTCGCAATAAAGATTATTCCTTGTAAATACATACATTTAACTTTATGAAAACCTCACCCCATTTTCCTTATTTTTCTTATTTTGCCCTGGATTAGTGATAGATATATTATCATAGATGGATATTTGTCACTAGACTAGCATTTGGAATTACAATCATATGCAACCTAGACATGGTATTTAGAAGAGATACAGGTTCTGCTATGGTTTTTTCTTTGTTTGTTTTGCTTTTTGTTTTTATTTATTTTTTGTTTGTTTTTGTTTTAAGACAGAGTCTCACTATGTGGCTCTGGGTAGAGTGCCCTGGCATCACAGCTTACAGCAACCTCAAACTCTTGGACTTAAGTGATTCTCTTGCCGAAGCCTCCCAAGTAGGTGGGACTACAGGTGCTCACCACAACACTCAGCTATTTTTTGGTTGCAGTTGTCATTGTTGTTTGGCAGGCCCAGGCTAGATTCAAACTCACCAGCTCTGGTGTATGGCATTATATATAATCCTAACACTGGACAAACTGCTGTCCTATGTCAAATTCCATACAAGTATTTTAGGATCCTGAGAGAATGGCAAACTTACTATAGGATCATTCTACTCATGATGACTGTATTTTCCCTATACCCATGGCTAGTCTGCTCCTGCTGGAGGAAGAACTTGATTGGATAATTGCTTTTTTAAAGTGGTCGCAAAGTGTAGTAGTGGACCTGAGATTAAAATATGATATTGTGGGGCGGTGCCTGTGGCTCAGAGGAGTAGGGCACCATCCCCATATGCCAGAGATGGTGGGTTCAAACCCAGTCCCTGCCAAAAACTGCTTTAAAAATGAAATATATATATATATATATGTATGTATGTGTGTGTATATATATATATTGTGGTTGTGGCTGAGTGTAGTGGCTCCTGTAATCCTAGCACTTCAGGAGGCCAAGATGGGAGGAGGAGTTGAGAGCAGGAGTTCAAGACCAGCCTGGGCAACAGAGCAAGACCCTGTCTCTGCTAAAAATATATGAAAAATACAATGTTACTTCCTTGCCTTTTTAAGATTTATTTCCAATGAACAAGGAAAGAAGACTTTGATCAACAGTGAACTGTCCTAAGCAGAGAACTTGTTTTTGTTGCTACCAAAGTATCAATATAAACTTTATGTTCTTGTTTTCTTTTACTTTTAGCCCCCAGCACCCTTCATGCTTATTCTTCCAATATAATACACAACTGGGCCCACCTTACCACATCTTGGTTGATACCAACTTCATCAACTTTTCCATTAAAGCCAAACTGGACTTAGTTCAGTCAATGATGGACTGTCTGTATGCCAAGTGTGAGTATCATACTTTTACATATCTGTAATGTTTATGCAGAATAATCATACTTATCCAAATATATTAAAAGAGGGAGGTGGGGTTCCAGTTAATGAAATTGCTGGCCATTTAATTTGCAGTGGTCACCATAGCAACGACCCCATTCTCTGAATTTAAATGTAATGCAAACTTGACAGAACAGTTACACTTTCACAATTCAGAAAACACTCAGAGTTTTCTGCTATGGCTATCATAATGTACAGCAATTTTAAATGTAGGGGGAAATTTTCTGTTTTAGAATTCCGAATTTAAAAATTCTGGATAAATGAAAAATCTATTGTTTTTCAGTATACTACATATATTCTTTTGCATTAACTGTATATATTCTTGCTGTTTATTTGTTGTACCACAAAGGATCTGATGTAGTTTATTTTATTATTATTTTTTTTTTTTTTTGAACAGAGCCTCAAGCTGTCCCCCTGGGTGGAGTGCCTTGGCATCACAGCTCACAGCAACCTCCAACTCCCGGGCTCAAGCGAGTCTCCTGCCTCAGCCTCCCAAGGAGCTGGGACCACAGGCACCTGCCACAATGCTTGGCTATTTTTTGGTTGCAGCCATCATTGTTGTTTGGCGGGCCCGAGCTGGATTCGAACCTGCCACCTGAGATGTATGTGGCTGGCACCTTAGCCACCTGAGCCACAGGCACCGAGCCTGATGGAGTTTATTTACACTAGGATGTGCAGTTTCCATTAATATATTTCCTTTGTGTGTTGGGTTCTCCCCCCCCCTTTTTTGAGACAGAATCTCACTCTGTCACTGGGGAGAATGCCATGGCATCATAGCTCACAGTAACCTCAAACTCCTGCGGCTTAAGCAATCCTTTTACCTTTTAATCATTCATCTCTTCTTGCTTTTTACATTGAAGGATATATCGTGAACATTTTTCATGTCAGTGTATGGAAATGAACCTCATTCTTTTTTTAAGTTATATTTTCTGTTTAAATATGTAGTTTTTTTAAACCAAATATTCTATTGGACATTTGGATTATTTCCAGTTTTTATTATATTATAAACAATCATTATAATGATTCTCTTTGTCCTGTGTAAGAATGTATTTCTCTAGGACACATTTTCTAAAAGCTGCATTACAATATCAAGGAGTATGTATATTCTTAATAAGTATTGCAAAATCACCCTCAACTAGTTACATCAATTTATACACCTACAAACTTAATATGAGAATATCTGTTTCCTCAGTATTGTTTTTTTTTAATATGTTTAATTTTACTACCCTAATAGGTGTCAAAGACTTTTGCATATCTTTAATTGGGAGTGAGATTGAGCATCTTCAACCTTGTTGACAATTTGTATGTCCTGTTCTGTGAACTAAAATATAGCATGATAGTTAAGATCCCGGACTGTGGGCAGTGCCTGTAGCTTAGTGGGTAGGGCGCGGGCCACATACATCCAGGCTGGCAGGTTCGAACCTGGCCCAGGCCAGCTAAACAGCAGTGGCAGTTGGAACAAAAAGTAGCCAGGCGTTGTGGCAGGCACCTGTAGTCCCAGCTACTTGGGAGGCTGAGGCAAGAGAATCACTTAAGCCCAGGAGTTTGAAGTTGCTGTGAGCTGTGACGCCATGGCACTCTACCAAGGGCGACATAATGAGACTCTGTCTCAAAAAAAAAAAAAAAGATCCCAGTCTATAATCTGACAGACCCAGTTCAGATCTTGGCTTCGCCATTTGCTATCTTCACCATTAACTTCTATTTGCCTCAGGTTCCTTATATAAAATAGAGATAATGATAATAATACTATCTAATGGAGGTTAACAGTGTCTTCCAAAAAGCACATAATTATAAACTATTATTAGAAGCTCTGTGTATATTAAGGAAATTAGCTTTTTGACAAATTTGTGGGAATATTCTTCCCAGTTTAGTCTTTTTTTGTTTTTTTTTGGCCAAGACCAGGTTTGAACCCACCACCTCCAGCATATGGGGCCGGCGCCCTACTCCTTTGAGCCACAGGCACCACCCGCCAGTTTAGTTTTTTTACTTAATTATGGCGTTCTGTTTGATAGCTGTCAGACAGAGGTTTTATTCTCATATGATCAAATTTGCATTTTCTGGTTAACTTCCTAGGGTTTTTTTCTCTCATTTAAATCTTTTTCCACCTAGAACTTATTTAATTTAGTATAATATAATTACAGAATCCATTTTTTACCCTCCAGATATGTTTATGACAGATACTTTTAGGAATCTGTGTTGTGCTGGAACAGATCCCTAACATAAATAAGGTTTTCTTCTCTAGTGTTCATTTCAGTGTGCTAATTGTGCTGTCATTCCAGAAGTCCCTTGGGTCTTTTAAAGACTCCAGACAGAATATAATTCAGAGAGAATTTCTTCAGAAGTTCTGTTCTTAATTCTTTTCTTTCTTTCCTGGCAGGCATTCCTTGTATAACTGACTGTGTAATGGCTGAAATTGAGAAATTGGGACAGAAGTATCGAGTGGCCCTCAGGTAGGAAGTAGCTAAACTAGATTTGTTCTTGATTGGCATACTTAGAACTCCTCTGATCCTCCATCTGTTGGCTGTCCAGAGGTTTCTTAGCTAATTACCTTAAATAAAAATCATATAAAATTGCCTATTTGTGATTTAAGAAGCAGATCTTGGAAGTTTAGAAAATTTTAAGCTGAGGCTCTTTGAACTAACGTTGTTTTAACCATACTGGTCTTGTGGGCCTCCTTTTATGTTTCTCTAGATTTTCAGTTAGAAACTCTATATTGGTTTGTTATCTAGACATCTCCTTCAGAATCTCACACTTGAAGGATTCACATTTTAAATTTTGAGTTTACTCCAGAAAGGTGGGACAGGTGCCCACCACAGCACCCAGCTATTTTTTAGAGAAGGGAGTCTCACACTTGCTCAGGCTGGTCTTGAACATGTGAGCTCAGGCAATCCACCCGCCTCAGACTCCCAGGGTGCTAGGACTATAGGCATGAGTAAACATACCTGCCAATGAATATACATTTTAAGAAAGGAAAAAACTGTATTAAAACTGTAATACTCAAAATATGCCAATAACATTTGTTATCTTGTGTATTTTATCTTGTACTTTTTGTAGTTACACAAGTCAAACATGACCTACATATTACAATTTTATTTATTTTTTTGAGACCATCTCACTCTGTCACCCTGGGTAGAGTGCCACAGCGTCATAGCTCACAGCAATCTCAAACTCTAGGGCTCAAGTGATCCTCCTGCTTCAGCCTCCCAAGTAGCTGGAACTACAAATGCTCATGACACATGGCTAGATTTTCTATTTTTAGTATAGAGAGGAGTTTCACTCTTGCTCAGGCTGGTGTTGATCTCCTGAGCTTAACCAATCCACCTGCCTCAGTCTCCCAGAGTGCTAGAATTACAGGTGTGAGCCACCACACCTGGCTAAGAATTACGATTTTAATACAGTTTTTTTCCTTTCTTAAACTATGCATACATTTTTTTTGGCACCCTCTCTATATAAAATACGATTCAATTCAGAAAATATAAGTGCATCTCTCTGATACTCTTATCTATATTTGCATTTGCCCAGAAAAATATCTCAAAAATATATATACTAACCCTTCTGGGTTGTCACTCTTGTGTAGGAGAATGAACAAAGTGTGAATGTGGAGGAAGACTTTTACTTTTTATTATATGTGTATATTTATATTATTTGCCATAAAAATTCACACATGTATTATTTCCAAACAAATTTTAAAAAGAGAGCTCCCTGAGTCTGTGATTTCTGGAACCCTTCTCTTTCTATTTCATGACGACAATAAGTTGTTGAAATGAATAAAAATACATGCATAGGTACCAAGTGCAATAAAAACCCTCTTCCATATTGCAGTAGGTTGATGCTAGGTCAGCATGGATTGGGTACATTTATAAAACATGACATGAGGATGAAAAAAAATGAAGAATGCACCAAGCTATGTGAGTACCAAACAGGCACCAGCCATCTGTAAACTGCTTTGGCAGTGTTCAGGAAGAGTTAGTGAAACTTTCTGGCTGGAGAAAGTTTCCATGGAGAGGAGAGTGAAATAGGGTTTGAAAGAGTTTCTAATACCAGGCTGAGAAGTATGATGACACAGCTGATGGGGAGTCATTAAAAGATTTCTGAGGGGGTAGCACCTGTGGCTCAGTGGGTAGGGTGCTGGCCCCATATACCAAGGGTGGTGGGTTCGAACCTGGCCCTGGCCACACTGCAACAAAAAATAACCAGGCATTATAGTGGGCACTTGTAGTCCCAGCTACTCAGGAGACTGAGGCAAGAGGATTGCCTAAACCAGCAGTTCTCAACCTGTGGGTCGTGACCCACAGGAACTGTATTAAAGGGCCAGGGTATTAGGAAAGTTGAGAACCACTGGCCTAAGTCCAAGAATTGGAGGTTGCTGTGAACTGTGACACCACAGCACTCTACTGAGGGTGACCAAAAAAAAAAAAAAAATTTCTGAGGGACAGAGTGACATAAGCAGAGCTTTATCTTGGAAAAACTAAGCTGGCTGTGGAATGGAGGATAGGCCAGAAGGAAGACAGGTTGCTCAGAAACTAGGCAGGCATTCGTCTAAGACTTTGCTCTTTTGGTTATCTCTTTACACCTTTACACATCATTCATCTTCTCTCTACAAGCTCTTTCCCCAAAATATACCAACATGCTCTAGCTAGTATCTTCTCCATCTTAAAAAAAAAGTATAACATGTTTTTACTTACATCCCTCTCCAGCTAATACCCCATCTCTGTGTTTCTTGGCAGTCAAACTTAGTGCTTCCACTTGGTACCTTTATTTTCTCACCTTGCATTCTTTATTATTTTGAAAATTGCCCTGTTTCCCCCTTTAAATTTGAATTGCAGTAGATCCTCCATAGTTGACCACCTCCCTACATTGCCCACTGCCTAAGTTGACCTAGTTTTCACAGACCAGATATGTATCACATGTATATCTGATGTAGGCCTAGTTCCTTAACTTGACCACCTCCATATGTTGACTAGTTTGTTAGAGTCCCTTGGGTGATCACCTTACAGAGGTATACAAAAAAGCGTAAAGAATGATGAACACCTTGCACACTAGCTAAAGAAAAAAAAACATTAAGTAAAAAGGAAGCCCCATCTCCAATTCTGATCTCTTTCACCTCTCCACAAGTAACTATCATCCTAAATTTGGCATTTATCATTCCATATTTTCTACCATGCATATAAGATCATAGATGTACTTACCTATAAACAATGTAGTATTGGTTTGCATGTTTTTAAACTTTAGATAAATGGTATGCTTCTGGTTCTTTTCCCCCTAGAGACAGGGTCTTGCTATGTTGTCCAAGCTGGTCTTGAACTTCTGGACTCAAATGATCCTTCCACCCCAGTCTCCAGAGTAGTAGCTAGGACTATAGCAGCATACCACCATGCCCAGTATTGTTCTTGCTTTTTTAAATTATGAATTGTTTTTGAGATTTATCTATATTGAGTTTGAGGTTGCTGTGAGCTAAGACGCTACAACACTCTACCAAAGGTGACAGAGTGAGACTCTGTCTCAAAAAAAGAAAAAAGTGTGCATGCTTTTTTTTTTTGACTCTCTCTGTATATAACATAGTGTTCATTGGCCTGCTTTGTTTATTCAGCAGGTCAGTGTAACGTCATCTACATTGGTACATACAGTTCTACTGCATGATAGTTTCCCTATCAAAGTGTGCCCCTCACCAAAGTGTGTTTACCTTTACCTTGCTGACATTTGGATTATCTCCAGTTTTTTTTTTTTCACTGTGTCTACCGAGGGCAACATAGTGAGACTGTGTCTCAAAAAATAAAACATAAACTGTGCATAAAACATCCTTGTGCCTATATTCATAAAAGTGAAAGCATTTGGTTAAAATTGATTTGGTTTGGAATCCTGGCTTTTCTCAACTATGTTTTGAACAAATTATGGCACAGGGTTTTGTAATAATAAAATGACCAAAAGCACACCAGCTGTCAGTCAATTTTAATTCCCTTCCTTTTGAATTGTCTTCTTATTAGAGGATTGTTTAGGAGGATAGGAGTGCTTTAAAATCTATATTTAGATCTTGTTAATTTTGTTTCACTGATTGAGACTCACAAAGTTATCCAATTGCTTGAATATTTTATTTAATTCACTTTTATAACCCTACAGGATTGCCAAGGATCCAAGATTTGAACGATTACCATGCACACACAAAGGAACCTATGCAGATGACTGCTTAGTACAGAGAGTGACTCAGGTATCATCAGTTTGTAAATGTTTATTTTGTGCTTTAAAATATATATATACGTGTGTGTGTATATAAACTATTATCTCTTGAATGTTCATGGGCAGTAAAGTATCTAGGAATATAAATAAAGAAAATAATTACATAGCATCCATTCATAAGAAGCATAGGTATCCTCACTTACTTGAGAAAGTAGCTTGAAAATGTATGTGCTATCCTAACCATAATGGAAAGAGCACAGGCTCAGGGAGGAGACACGGGTTTCAGGTCACAGCACCTGCATTTAGTGGGTATATGATTAGGGATGCTTACTGGTTTTTTTATTCACAAATCTCTGTAAGATCGTTTAAATGAGTTAATGTTGAATATGTAAAATAAAGTTACATTTCCACTTACTCCCATTGAAGGGATTCTATTCCTCTCCACCATCCCTAACCCCAAAGTGTTTCTCACTTATATCTGAGAGTCTCCCAGCATGCTATCTCACACACATTCTTGCCTTCTTGTCAAGCACCACCAGAACATCTGCTGAGAATAGTCTTCATTTGGTAATCAAACAGCCAGCCTTTTAACCACTGTATCCCATGGGTGAGGCAAGCATTCCCTTAATTCCCCATAGCACAGCTACAACATTTTTAAAACTCTGTGGGAGATTCAGATATGATAGAAGTAGAATACAATATAACTTCGAACTGACAGCTAAATGTTAACTGCTTTTGAACCTGCTAGGCTTAAACTTCAGGTCCTAAAGATCCTAGTCTGGCTTCCACCTCCACTACTAGGAGGCCTCAGAGCATACCTAAGTCTCAAGATCTAGGGAAGGGAGAGAGCTGCCTTCTAATGTAAGGTACTTTCTATTTGCCTGGAGTCCTAAAACTCAAGAATTGCCTGCCTCAGATGTGAAATTCTCTTGTACTATGAGGCAGAAAACAGCTTACAGCTTGTAAACAGTTTTCCATGTTCTCCCCCTCAAGATTCTTACTGCTATATTCAACCCTAGCATCTTATTGTATGTAATTTTTTTTTTTTGAGACAGATTTTCACTATGTCACCCTCAGTAGAGTGCTGTGGTGTCACAGCTCACAGCAACCTCAAACTCTTGGGCTTAAGCAGTTCTCTTGCCTCAGCCTCCCAAGTAGCTGGGACTACAGGTGCCCACCACAATGCCCGACTATTTTTTTGTTGCAGTTGTCATTGTCATTTAGCTGGCCCAGGCCAGGTTTGAACCTTCCAGTCTTGGTGTACGTGGCTGGCACCATAACCACTGTGTACAGGCACTGAGCCTTATTATACGTGATTTATAAATAGATACTCCTAGATCATAGTAGTAACTCAGCAGATTGTTACAGCCTTCTCTTCACTATTCACCATGAAAATGAATGATTCCACAAACTAGTCAGTGGTTGTGCCATTATCTAACAGTCATTAAGTATACTCAGTGAGTTCAGAGGGAACATTAGTCTGTGTCCCTTACAGCACAAGTGTTACATCGTGGCCACAGTTGACCGAGACCTTAAACGAAGAATCCGGAAAATCCCTGGAGTTCCTATCATGTATATTTCTAACCACAGGTGAGAAATTTCTCTTAGGAAAGTGTTTATAAGTGTACAATTGGCATCAATTAAAATGAGATGGGGATAAGGTTATAGAGGACATGAAAGAAATTATTGTATGAAATGTTTACATAAGTTACACTGGAAAAAATGAGACAAAAGTAGCAAGAACAAGGGCAAAAGATAAAGGATTTAGGAATGAGGCAGGCATTTAAACTGTTACAATAGGATTACTAGAAGAGAGATGTACTGATTGAAACACAAAGCTGTAATTTAAATCAATTTAATCTTTTTAGCCAGAAATACCTGTTTTGAAAGGTTTTTTTAATTAGCACCTCATCTGAGTACATAAAAAAAAAAAAAGGCTGTTCTTTATCCTTCTAGATCAGTGGTTCTCAACCTTCATAATGCTGCAACCGTTTAACACATTTCCTCATGTTGTGGTGACCCCCAACCATAAAATTATTTTTGTTGCTACTTCATAACTGTAATTTTGCTACTGTTATGAATCCTAATGTAAATATCTGATATGCAGGATGTATTTTCATTGTTACCAAGAGGTCGAGACCCATAGGTTGAGAATCACTGTTCTAGATGTTTCCATGCCCTCAGACTATTATTGTCTAGCTTTTCAGCTTGGGGAAAGCACAGCATAGTGGGAAAAATAATGAACTAAGGAATTGGGCTTACCTGATCTCAAATTTGACTTCCCACTTGCTAACATTGTGATTTGAAATATAAAGATAATTATCATAGAGCCAACATTTTGCTGTAAATCATTTATTTTGATATTCCCCCAAATGTTCCCACTGGCAAAAGAATTCACAGTGAGATAAGAGTGTTGTAGTCAGTAAAGGATGGGTTTTTAGATAATTCTGTACCTGTTTTTCTCACCAGTGTTCATTTTTTATCCCAATCAGATACAATATTGAACGGATGCCAGATGATTATGGAGCCCCTCGGTTCTAATTCTTATAAGACAATGTTCGTATGCCTTTCCTCAACCAACTTTCTCTGTTAACAGTTTGTTAAACATGAAATACCATGAATTATTACTCTGTTCACCAGCTTGCTTTATTATGACCTGGAGGATGTAGGTTAAATACACTCATGTTTGGATGCTATTTTGAAAATGATATTTTATCTCATTGATGGTCAAAGATGCAAAATCTTATGAAGAATGCTTCATTCTTTTTTGAGTTCTGTTGCACAATGTGGTAATTATATAGTTAATATTAGAGTAAATTTCAAATGTTCTTACCACAAAAATGTTAAGTATTTGAGGTGATGGATATATTGACTAGTTTGATTTAATTATTCCACGTTGTATTCATAGATTATAACATCACTGTGTACTCCATAAGTTTATACAAGTATAAATTGTTGGTTTACAACAAAAATAAAATTGTTGAGTTTTTTTGTAAATCAGGTGTTCTAATGATTATTTACATAATTTGATGGTCATTGTTCTATATTGATTTACTCAGCAAACATTTATTAAGTTTATACCAGGTACTTAATAAGATATGCTCCTGCCTTCAAGAGATTTATATTATAGAGGGAGGGAAAAAACATATAAATGAATAAATACAGTAAAACAGCAATGCTAGAGGCAAGTGTGGACACATAAAGGAGAAAAGGATGATTTATTTTGACTGGTGGAGCTGGAGAGGGAGGAAAAGCTAGAGTTAATCTTAAAAATGAACAGGTGCTTGCCTAGGAAATGAGGCAAAAAAAGGCAAACCGTTGGAAGTAGTAAGAACAAAAGCAAGGAGACACTGTTATATGGAGTGAATGTATTTGGCCTGTTAAGATAACTTCCAGAATGTTTTTATGACAAGGACAGATCATGGGGAAAAGGATCTGTACCCACATCTCAGACTTTAGAGGTAGGAAGTGGGAGGGAGGGGGTCTTACATAATATGCTAATGGATCAGTAGAATATGATCAAATTTTTATGCAGGATGAATAACAGATTAGGTTTTTTTCAGTGACATGAGGTAGTGTAAAATTAGATACATAGATCACTAGAACACAATAGAAAGTCCATAAACCTATGTATTTATAGGAATTTGGTATATATATATTTTTGAGACAATCTCACTATGTCACCCTCAGTAGAGTGCTGTGAAGTCACAACTCACAGCAACCTCAAACTCCTGGGCTCAAGCTATTGTCTTGCCTCAGTCTCCTAAGCAGCCGGGACTACAGGTGCCCACCACAATGCCTGGATATTTTTTGGTTGTAGTTGTCATTGTTGTTCAGCAGGCCAGACCAGGCTCAACCCTGCCACCCTCGGTGTATGTGGCTGGTGCCCTACTCACTGAGCCACGGGCACCGAGCTGGAATTTAGTATGTTATTAAGGTGGTATTCAAATCTGTAGGAAAAGGAAATTGTATTACAAGGTCAAATAGTATGGAGTCATTCTATTAGGATCCTGTTACCACCAGTTAATGTCTCTTGTGATTCTGGCAAACCACATAACCATTTAGTGCTTTCCTTATTGCTTTTTAAAAATGTTTTCTTTAGGTTTGGCGCCTGTGGCCCAAGTGGCTAAGGCGCCACATACATCTGAGCTGGTGGGTTCGAATTCAGCCTGAGCCCGCCAAACAACAATGATGGCTGCAACCAAAAAATAGCCGGGCATTGTGGTGGGCACCTGTAGTCCCAGCTACTTGGGAGATGGAAGCAGGAGAATCTCTTGAGCCTGGGAGTTGGAGGTTGCTATGAGCTGTGATGCCATGGCACTCTACCCAGGGCGACAGCTTGAGGCTCTGTCTCAAAATAAAATAAAATAAAATATTTCATTTAGACTCCGTGCCCGAAGCACAGTGGTTACGGTGCCAGCCACATACACCAAGGGTGCTAGGTTTGAACCCAGCCAGGGCCAGCTAAACAACAATGACAACTGCAGCAAAAAATAGCCAGACATTGTGGCGGGCGCCTGTAGTCCCAGCTACTTGAGAGGCTGAGGCAAGAGAATCACTTTAGCCCAAGAGTTTGAGGTTGTTGTGAGCTGTGACACC